TGGAGACAAATGACATGTGTAGACGATGTAAAACATAGCAGTAGCAATGTTAATTTCAGTATGCAATTCCACAGTAAATAGAAAGCTAGAAGGCTATAAGTAACTTGGTTTGTATTTTCTTTTTCAGCAGATGCATATTTTATAAGCAATGCGGTTCACTTATATGATTCAGAGAAAGGTGAATCAGTCGACTCAATCAGAATCTTCGGACATGGGTTCATGTGAGGAGATTGATCAATTGGGAGTGTGGAAATACTGAAACAGAACAAAAAGGAATGATGTTCAAGAGTATATTTGAAATATGGACTAACAAGATAGTAATGTTGCCATTCGACATTGCCATTGCTCTCTTCGCTGCATCATGTATTTTTGGTTACCATCTCCTTTCTTTATCACCTGTTTTCCTTCATATTGATGCTTGCTTTCTATGCATCACTAACAGGAATAATCTTGTTGCTATTTTCCCCAAACTGGCCAGAGGATTTTACCTTCTCGGCTTTTTCTGTGTCCTGGCTGCCGTAACCATTTTCTTTTCTGCTCTTCTCCCCAAGAATCTCAATACGCCCCCTGGATTTGTCTTGTGTTGTGCTCTTCATAATTTTAGGTCTGGCTCTTATGAACAGTGCAGTTGAGTTCTTAGCCACGGACAAAGTTTTGTATTGATTAATTGCTTCCAAAATTAAGAATATTGTGCAATAGATTTAATTTCTTCTTTTTGTTTGATATATAATATAAATACTAGAGTAATTAATTTGTATGTACGAATGCACTCAGTTGCAACCAGTACAGAAAAACTTATTGTAAAATACAATTTATGCAACAATACTAAGGAATAACGGAAGGCAGGACCTGAATCCAGAGAAAGCAGCCGCCCACAAGAAAATTGCAATACCTGTGGCGATGGAAGCCACAGCAAAAGTATGCCCAACGCCTGCAATCTTCGGCTTTGATTCCCGGAAAAGCATGGAGTAACCGGAACCATAACAGGCACCCACAATGCATAAAAGGAAGGCCTGGAATGTAACTTGTTGATGGTCAAAAATAACAGTAGGAACCAGACTTCCATCGATGTATGTCATCGGAAGTTGCAGGATTAGCATTGGGGTAATGACGGTGGCAGTGAATATCAATTCATCGGAGTAAAGCACTCACGGTGGATACTCCTGATGGTTATGTATGCAGGCGACAGGGACGGCGTGACTGAGGGGCAGCACGGTTGTGTATGGTAATCTGAATTTCATCCTTGTAACAACAAATGGAACAAATTGCGAATTGTGATGATGGGAGTTGGGTAAATATTGGGATATATAGGAAGTTCGAAGAAGCTTTCTAAGAAACTTCAGTAGGAGATTGTTTAAAAGTGCTATGAAACTTGGCAGGAAGGAGACTTTAGATTCTGCGCATTTTCTTAGAACAACTCACGAAACAAGACAGAAACATCCAGGAAGTAGTACATATAAGTGAAACTTCCTGGATGTTTAATTTGTGTCTTACCAAATTTCATTTATTTTAGTAACGGGTAAAACCCGTTCGGGGTGTTAACTGGTTTATAACCAAATTTTATCCCACACAAATTTCATTTATTTCGGTTAATAAAAATAATCTTACAATAAAATAACAGAAATTCCACTGTAGTTAAATTAATCACTAAAATTCTTCTATTGTTAAGTTTTTCTGTTAAAATAAACAGTATAAGGATAATTTGGTAAGGGAACACTAATAGCAGAAATGATAAGCAAATTTATGTTATTTTTTAAATTTCAGAAGATATTTTGTTATTCATTGATGAATTGTTGAGATTTGAAAATATAAACAAAGGAAAATAATTTTTAAACCCCATGTAATTTATCTATAGCCCTAACTTTTAATTTATATGAGGGTAAAATTATAAAACAATGATAAAATTGTAAATTTAGAAGTTTATTCTTAACAAAGATTTTAAAAGTCATATTAAAATTTAAAAAATAACACAATCTATGAAAATACTTAAATAAAAGTCGATAATCTATTTCAATAAATTTAATAAAATAATAAATCTGATCGTTAGAAAAAGATTGATGAAAACAATAGATCTAATCATTAAAAGGAAAGAAGAATGTTGGATATGAGAAGTCTTTAATAAATTAAAAGAAAGACCAAAATAGTAAATTCCTTTATACAAATATGAAAAAAAAAAATTTTTTTTTTTTAATTACACCAACCTTTTAACTAAGTAGTGTTTATTATTACATTTTGTTACAAAGTTTACTGATCAATTAAGTGGGGCTAAAAGATCTCTATCCTTAGTGATAATTGAGTAGCCCAACTTGTGGGATGAAGATTTAGTTGAGGTGCAGCCCGGCCCAGCCTTCCATTGCTTCTGTCCCAGCCCAATATCTTTAATTGAAAGGAAAATAGTATATGGGAAATAATTTTCAGCCCTATCAAATTGATCAAGATCCCCACTTTTAAATGTATTTTTGTTTTGACAAGATTAACCTTAGTAACATAATAATTTATAAATACACTTATTCGGTATTTTATATTTTTGTTTTTATTTTTAACTTAAATTCTTACATACACCCTAAATCTAAATTTTCTAAATCATTGAAACATTTTTTTTTTTTTTAATTTTACTATAAGTTATGGAGAAAGCAATCATACAACGAAATGAATTTGAAGCTAAAGAAAAAAAATAAGTTTTAAATTTAAAATTGGAAAAAAAAATGTATAAATAAAAAAACATAATTAAGAAATTAGGAAAAAGTAGTGTAAACAAAAACCCTAGTTAAGTTTGGAATTGGGGGAAAAGGGTGCAAACAAAAACACTGGCTAAAGCTAATTAAACAAGGTATTTTTGGGTATTAAATAAAGTTTAAAAAGAATTTTTGAAACTATAATAGAGATGTATTTAGAAATGAGGGATAAAAATGGAACCGATGAATCTAGATTAAGTGATTGAATAAGTTAAAAATTTTGGAATAATAAGAATATGTTTGGGCATGTCTATTGGTCAAAAGAATTTATTTAAAGTTACATTTAAAATTCTTTTAAGTTGTTAGCCTGTTTGGTTGGGCTTATCTATGGCCAAAAAGAGATTATTTAAAGTTATAAGTATTTTTGAAATTTTGTTAAGCTATTTAGTTGTATTTCAAAAGTATTTAGTATATGATTTTAAATAAGCTATTTTACGGCTTATTGGAGAAGCTCAAATTTTGAGTTTTCTCATAAGCTCATTTTGAGCTTATTTAGAGTGCTAAAGTTTAAAAAATATCCCCATTCAATTTTATAAATTTGACTTGATCTATTTCTTGGATATTAAAATCGTTTTTGGTAAATTAATATTAGAAAACATTTTTACATTTTCCTAACCAAACAGCTATAAAAAATTTCACAAAAGCAATCATATAAACACTACTCTCTTCTTTTATAAGATGTACTCAAAGAAGTCGTACCAAACAAACTCAGGTTGCATTTTAAAAGTGTTTATAGAATTTTATATAAGTTATTTTACAACTTCTGGAAGAAACTCAATTTGAGCTATTAAAATTTCAAAACTATTCCTATTCAATTTTACAAATTCAACTTATCTATTCTTATATATTTAATTTCTTTTTGGTAAATTAATACTTGAAAACTCTTTATCTTTTCTTAACCAAATACTAACAGAATTTTCACAAAAACTCTATTTTCATAAACTCCACTCTAATAAGCACTTCTTTCATAAGCTCCACTCAATGAAATCATACAAAACAGATCCTAAGAGTTTAACAAAATAAAAAAGCCATCAAAGATTAAGATTCTTTCTTTTTGTTTATTTTCTTTTTCTACCTTGATAATAAAGCAACAACAAACGTTAGTATGAAAGTAACTCAAAAAAATTAATAAAAAAATATGAAAACCAATACAAAAGTAAGTAAATCCAATGAATAAAATTATATGTTGAAGCATCGATGATGAAATACAAATAAGTATATATTTTATTTAAAAAGAATTCTTATGAGTTCAAATTACATTACTCTTAAAATAAATATATGATAAAATACACAACACCCATCAAACATTTGTATTTAAAAGCCATGTTTATGTTATTTAAAGCTTTAAATTAAACTCAACTACTAACAAACGCTTTAAATCAAAAGCCATGTTTAGGTTATTTAAAGCTTAAAACTACAATATAAATTAATCTTTGATTTAAATAACATAAACATGGTTTATATTTAAATCATTTCATTAGTTGAAAAGTAGAAGTCAGAGATAAGTTAAATAATATAAAAATGCTTTAGTTGAGCTTATAAAATTAATTCAAAGTCAAATCATATTTCTCATCCCAATTCAAATAATATAAACATGATCCTAAATTTAAATTCCAATGTTATGCAAATGACCTTATCATATGGGGCTCCCAACATGTATTTTATATTTCATTTTACCATTCTTTTTTCTTTGTATTTTCCTTTTTCAATTTCCCTCCCAATTCCCAAACAGTAAAATACTACATCTTATATTTATCATTTTATTTAGGGGTTTTCTTCATCCATTGAGGTTTAATCAAATAACAAAAGTTCCTTTGCTATTTAATAAATTAAAAAAAAAAATTCCTCTAACGTTAGTGAACCGTTGGTGTACAGGTTGAATTCACAGTGTGATGTGTTGATAAATATTTATCTAATTGTCCCTCGAACATTTATTTAAATATCAAAAAATTAATAGTAGAAAAAATTTTGTTATTTCTATAATCATAAGGGGATTTTATTATTTAAGTATATCTAAGGGGAATTATCGTTATCAACCCTTTTATTTATTTATTTTGCGATGGTTTATTTTTAAATGTTAATATGTGCTTCTTTTTCCCTTTAAAAAAAAAAATAAATTAAAGGGAAAAACAAAATCATTGAAAAACTTGAAAAGATTACAAGTTAGACCCCAAAAAGGGCTCAGATGAAGACAAATTAAACTAATGAAAAAGAACGGGGAATCTTTTGAAATCTTATCCTGAAAAAATATAAATACGACAAACACAAAAATCAAAACCATCGAGGGAGAGACGGAAGCAGCAAAAATGGCTTCAACTTGCTGCGTAAATTCGCCTATGAATGTGAAAGCTAATTCTCTCTCTCCCTCTTGTTCAACTAAGCCTAAGCACATTCTCGCTACCCATTTGAGCTTTGCTTCTAACAACGCATCTTTCTCTCTCAATTTACATGAAAACCCTCGTTTTCAGAAGACCCGCTCGCCCAAGGTCGTCAATTTCCAGGTGGGAACTTTGGAATTTAAAGTTTTGCATCATTTTTCGCGTTGTTGTGTAGTTTAATTAGAGAAACTGTTGTATTTTTTTATGTGGGTTCTCAATGATTCTCAAGTTTTCAATTGGTTTCATGGTGTTTTCTGTAATTTAATTAGGCAAAGTTTTTTTTGTTGTTGTAATATGGGTTCAGTTTGATTGAATTTCAAGTTTTAAATCATTTTATGGGGTTTTGTGTAGTTTAATTATAAACTGAGTTGTTTCTCAATGTTGGTTGACTGTGACTGCTAAGTTTTCAATCTCTTTAATTGAATTTTTATGCAGTTTAATTAGATAAAGTGTTGTTTTTGAATATGGGTTCAATTTGGTTTCTCGAGTTTTGAATAACTTTATGGGATTTTTGTGCCATTTAATTACAGTGTTGTTTTTTATGTGGGCTATGAGCAGGTAGTGGCATCATCGGCAAAGACAAAGCCTTTAAAGATAATGATATCAGGAGCTCCTGCTTCTGGTAAAGGTACTCAATGTGAGCTCATCACTAAGAAAGTAAGCTCTTTTCTGTTCATTCTTCCATTTTGGCGTCTGGGTTCCTCAATTTGCAAGCCATTACTTCATGTCAAGTTTTATTGGAGTTTCTCAATTGACATAATTTGATGAAGAAATCGTTTTTGATGTGATAGGATTGAGTAATTTCCTGTTATTTAATTTAATAGACATATAAACTTGAGCAATCTAACATTTTTGTTTGGTTGAGCAGTATGCTTAGTTATTCTCTTCTATAAAGCTTTATTATTTTCTTTTCTTAGTAGTTTCAGATCTGCTACAAGTTCTTAAACTGCTGCTCTTCCACCATCACTTTTTTTTAAAGCTGCCATAGCCCTTCTTCAACCTCCAGTATTTGAAACTGATGATTCCCTTTAGTATTTCAATGCCCAAAATAAACTTTTGAGAAAATTAGGTATTTAGCTTTGCATCAGATGCTGTGTTCTGTGCAAAAACTTGTGCTCTTTAGTCCCTCATCTCTTAGCACACTGCACATATGGGTGATCAGGGCCCCTAATTAGAAAAAGGAGGGAGAAATAATAACCTAAGAAGGTTTTCCACGCATGTAGCACTACTACTTTCCTTAGGTTTTATTTGTGCCACCCAATTATTGTGCTGATCGGTTTCAAGAGGTGAAGGCTCAAGAATGCAAATACAGGAGCATCAAAGCTTCACGCAGCTGACAAGGCAGATCCATCTGTACTCTTCATCCAGTAGCTTTCATTGAGTTAGGATGTTTGAAATTTATTTGTCATACATGTGATGAATGGATAGATTTTGGAGTTATTAAATGTATTGGTGTGCTTGAGAAGTTAGAGGATCCACAGAGGAAAGTATCAGAAGCTCAAATTAAAGAAGTTTCAGTCATGTAAAATCGCTTTAGAAAATTAGCTTACCACTTGATCTTGTTCATCGGTTATCTTTTCATCACTGGCTTTGGTATGATTATCTTATGAAACATTGGAAAAATATGTGCTGCAAAGGGTGAAAAGTACATCATCAAAGTGTTACATTGTGCCTCTAGCTTCTTACAGCTCACTATCCTCAGCACAAACAGACAGCACTCTTGCATGCACTAACATACACACACAGCATGCACAGGTGCTTGTGGATAAGTGGTGGTTTGCACCATCTATTTGAACTTGCATGTTACTGAGACACCTGACTAGTATAAATGATGTCTTAGAAGATGATATCATGTATTCTAATCTCACCTTTTATTGCTTTTCCCATATCAAACTATTTTTCATGGTCTTTTTCTTCCTTTTTTAATTCTCTCTTTGTGGTAGAAATATGCACTTTACAGCCAAAAATATATTTTATATTAGCAAAGTATTTTACAGGTTCCTTGCTTAGTAACATATGCTCAGATTATTGGGTTCAGTATGTGTGTTACTAAGACCAGAATGCCAACTGTTGTCAAGGTGTTTGCTTTAAGAGGTGTGGGCTATAAAGTGAAACCTTGAACAGTTTGGAGGATGGAGATGGTGAGGAGAATGAATGTGTTTAGACTCAGGATTTTTGGTTGTCTTTCTGTGTCTGTTGCCTTTCCAGGACACTGGTATTCCACATATTTATGTTCAGTTACACACATGCCTGCATCCACAAAGAGCATAACGAGGATTCGCAGAAAGCAGAAACATAATAAATGCTCGTCTGATTGCTAGATAAACATTGAGGACATTGTTCTTCCATGTTCTCTGTGGATTGATGGGAAATGTGTGTGTCAATATAAGGTTTAGCAATTTATCAATTTACTGGCTGTGGTGACCAGTAGTTTCCTCTCAAGTTCTACTGCTGGCTCTAGTGAGGAGTTTCCTATGTTAAAATTCTGAAAGCTGTTTTTGTATCTTCTTCACTAAAGAAATGCACACAAAGTAACTGGTTCATTAATAAAGAAATCATGACAGTCAGTGATTGCATTAACTTGCCTCCGATATGTAATTACTTGGATGCAATGATATTTTATCTATCTGAGATCCTGTTACTTGTCATTTGTTTCCTGTTTGTCTCCAAATTGCTGCATGCTGTTGTTTACATGGTTTTCTGTTGTTGCTGCATGAATTCCTTATTTTCTAAATGCTCCTGAGGAAAAGCAGATTGAATCAAGTCATCCTCATATTTGCAGTATGGCTTGGTGCATATTGCTGCTGGAGATTTACTGAGGGCTGAAATTGCTTCAGGAAGTGAAAATGGGAAGCGAGCAAAGGAATACATGGAGAAAGGACAGTTGGTACCAGACGAAATTGTTGTCATGGTAGGGCTGTTATATTTCACTTTGATGCAAACTCCAAACTCTTTTGGTTGATTCCTTAATTTGATCCTGTAGATGGTGAAGGAACGTCTGTCGCAGCCAGATTCTTTAGAAAAGGGTTGGCTTTTGGATGGATATCCTAGGAGCTCATCACAGGCAACTGCTCTTAAGAAATTTGGTTTCCAGCCTGATCTTTTCATTCTCTTAGAAGTAATGACCTTTTCTTACTGCTTTTGGCATATTCAACATTATGTTAGGAAGAGAAGTCATGAACTCCCTCTTGATTCTATATTTTAATTATTTCTTGTTTCAGTATTAAATAGTGCATGTAAAATTTTAGGATGAGCTTTCCAGAAGTATACATAGGATTTGTCTACCTATATTGCAGGTCTCAGAAGATATTCTTGTTGAGAGAGTTGTGGGTCGTAGGTTAGATCCTGTAACAGGGAAGATATACCACTTGAAGTACTCTCCCCCAGAAACTGAAGAAATAGCTGCGAGGCTAACCCAACGCTTTGATGATACAGAAGAAAAGGCATGAGCAGATTCTTCCTTCTAGCTTAAAATTTTTTTTACTAAATAAAATTATTTTGTTCTTTGGTCTCTTTTTTTTTCCTTCAAATAATGATTTTACCTTTTTTATGGTTGTATTCATGGGACAACTATTATATTATTTTCTTTCTTGGTCCATATAGGTGAAATTACGTTTGCGTACGCATCATCAGAATGTGGAGGCAGTACTTTCAATGTATGAAAACATAACAATTAAGGCATGTGATATCATCTCTTTGTCTTTGTCTTTGTCTTTCTCTCTCTATTGACATTTATACATGCCTGTGTATGTTTGATTTGTGAAATGCTACTAGTAGTAGGGTTTGACAAAAAGACTGAGATGTTAAGAAAAAGATTTTGATGAATGAGTTCAGTCATGACAGTGAAAATATAAGACATAAAAAGAATTGCACTGTTGAATTACGTGAATATTTGTTTTTTTTTGTGACATGAAAAATCAGTCTCTATATATATGTATATTAGCCACCGCTGGTCTATAGTTGCCTATTGTATTGTTTGTCTAACTTGGTTCAATGGGTTATCAGCCACTGTATTCTTCTTTTAGGATCTTGTCTTGTCTTGTCTTTCTTTCTTTCCAGGAAAGGATCTTATGGTGAACAGAATTTGTAGGAAAGGACCTTGATTGACTAATGTTTTAGTGGTGGGGAGCTTGAGAGGCTCTACCATTAATCCTCTCTATCTGTATTGTTAATAACACATGTAGGATGGGATTCGGAGGTGCTTGATGGATTCCTGTTGTTGGAAGTAGACATAGAATGTCTATGGTTTTATTGAATTTCCTTTTGAAGAATTTTCTAATCATTAGTGACGTCAAAGATATTAAAGTGTCTTCATCATACATATTTATTTCTTGTTCCTTTTTAAAAATTATCTATCTTCAAATCATAGTTTTCTTTTCTTTTAGTTTTGAAGCAATCTTGTAGACATCAGGTCCATATTTTTCTTTATTTGTTTGCAACCAAACATATAATGGTGGACTTTTTTTTGAAGTCATGTGATATTCTTGTATTCATCAAGAATCGAAGCATAACTTGTAACATAGATTAAAAATGATAATGCTTAATGCTTAATGTTGAAGCTGAGTCTGTTTGGTAGTCACCCTGTTATCTTATCAATTCCTTATACTGCGGAAATATTTTGTTATAGGCATTAATTAGCTCTCTGCATGAAGTATTTAGAAAAGAAAAGAGAAAGATCTTTTGAAGGAAGATTGGATTGATTTGTGACAAGAGCTATTCATGTCCAATGTGTAACTGACGTTTTAGATCCATTTCATTTCAGGTTAATGGAAACGTGGCAAAGGAGGATGTCTTTATTCAAATTGATAATGCTCTGACCAAACTACTTGAGCAAAAGAAAACCGCTCTGGCTGCATAGATGAAGGTGCGGGTGGTTCAGGTATCTCCGGCAACTCACTCAATTATCATACTCTTTCATTATACATAGGTGCAGTAATGACTGTGTGATAAATGGTTGAAAAGTAATTGCAATTGTTTGTTCTTTTGGGAAACTAGCACTACATGCGCGTATAAATATAATCAATCGATGGTTAAAATTATTTTTTCCAGTGTAAATTCTTTTAGTATGTATTAACACCATTTGAAGGGATTAAAATAAGTTGTCGTTTAAATATTTTTGATGAGAGAAACTTTATCCACCGTTTCATGTATTGAATTCGTTGTTTACGCTCATGCTTTTAGTGTTGATAGACCTTGATGGAAGGAGAGAATTTTGTTGCATGACTAAGCAGCTACGGAAAATGCATGGCATTATCATTATATGTATATGCCTCATTATTTGACTAATTGGTTGTACGTACAATCGCTGTACGAAAGACTTTTTGAATTGTATGTCTTTAAGAAAAAGTGATCATCATGATTAAGTCTAAATTTCTGGAGATTTCTTGTTCAATCCGTTCCTTTGACTATCATTTGTGCGTATATAAAATGGATTAAATGTGTTTTGATGGAATAGTTTCCCATGTGCCCAAAGAATTTGTTCAATTTCATGAATTATGTTACTTATTGACTTTTAGGCATTTAATTAATCAAATCATGAAATAAAACAGAATATGGTTGGATTTTTCTGTTTCATCTATTTTAATTACTATTAAAAATAGTACTTCTGAACATTTTAATTAAATATTTATGATCAACACCTGTAAAATAAGTTTCATAATTAATGTGAAATTTGACTTGACATTCTTATATTATATTTGGTTAACTTTATATATTAATAATATTACTTTTTCCAAATTTCATATCCCAAGTGATGAATCATTATATGTGGCATTCTATATAATAAAATGATAGTGCATTGAATGATAGGGTAATATTCATATAATGAGACATCATTTGAGATGTGGAATATGGGACACTTAGTATAATTCTTTATGGGTGCATTTGTTTCCCTATTTTTGTCTTATCTTATTCCTATCATTTTCAAAATACATATTTGTTTATTTATTCTGAAAATACTATTATATTTTATTCAATTATTTTTAGACCCTTTTAAGTTTGTTAATTTAATAAACACCCCCAAAAAAAGTTTAAAATTTGATAAAAACACCCCAATCCACTCATACTTGTCAGATTCTGGTCACCACCGTCAGAAGGTGGTCGAAATTTGGTATAATGGTGTACTATCAATTGGATCTGGTCGATAATGCGTTGATCAACTGGATCTAGCCGGTAGTGTGTCAATCTAACATTTTTTGGTCAGATTCATTATGGAGTTAGTCGGAAAAGGCCAGATCTACAGTCAAAGAACAGCCAAATCTTTGGTCGTAGCTAGTCGTCAATGATGGCCAAGATATGGCCGTTGTTGACGACCAAACGTAGCTNAACTGACGTTTTAGATCCATTTCATTTCAGGTTAATGGAAACGTGGCAAAGGAGGATGTCTTTATTCAAATTGATAATGCTCTGACCAAACTACTTGAGCAAAAGAAAACCGCTCTGGCTGCATAGATGAAGGTGCGGGTGGTTCAGGTATCTCCGGCAACTCACTCAATTATCATACTCTTTCATTATACATAGGTGCAGTAATGACTGTGTGATAAATGGTTGAAAAGTAATTGCAATTGTTTGTTCTTTTGGGAAACTAGCACTACATGCGCGTATAAATATAATCAATCGATGATTAAAATTATTTTTTCCAGTGTAAATTCTTTTAGTATGTGTTAACACCATTTGAAGGGATTGAAATAAGTTGTCGTTTAAATTTTTTTGATGAGAGAAACTTTATCCACCGTTTCATGTATTGAATTCGTTGTTTAAGGAGAGAATTTTGTTGCATGACTAAGCAGCTACGGAAAATGCATGGCATTATCATTATATGTATATGCCTCATTATTTGACTAATTGTACAATCGCTGTACGAAAGACTTTTTGAATTGTATGTCTTAAGAAAAAGTGATCATCATGATTAAGTCTAAATTTCTGGAGATTTCTTGTTTAATCCGTTCCTTTGACTATCATTTGTGCGTATATAAAATGGATTAAATGTGTTTTGATGGAATAGTTTGCCATGTGCCCAAAGAATTTGTTCAATTTCATGAATTATGTTACTCATTGACTTTTAGGCATTTAATTAATCAAATCATGAAATAAAACAGAATATGGTTGGATTTTTCTGTTTCATCTATTTTAATTACTATTAAAAATAGTACTTCTGAACATTTTAATTAAATATTTATGATCAACACCTGTAAAATAAGTTTCATAATTAATGTGAAATTTGACTTGACATTCTTATATTATATTTGGTTAACTTTATATATTAATAATATTACTTTTTCCAAGTTTCATATCCCAAGTGATGAATCATTATATGTGGCATTTTATATAATAAAATGATAGTGCATTGAATGATAGGGTAATATTCATATAATGATTCATCATTTGAGATGTGGAATATGGGACGCTTAGTATAATTCTTTATGGGTGCATTTGTTTCCTTATTTTTGTTTTATCTTATTCCTATCATTTTTAAAATACATATTTGTTTATTTATTCCGAAAATACTATTATATTTTATTCAATTATTTTTAGACCTCTTAAGTTTGTTAATTTAATAAACACCCCCAAAAAAAGTTTAAAAATTGATAAAAACACCCCAATCCACCTATACTTGCCAGATTCTGGTCACCACCGTCAGAAGGTGGTCGAAATCTGGTATAATGGTGTACTATCAACTGGATCTAGTCGATAATGCATTGACCAATTGGATCTAGTCGATAGTGTGTCAATCTAATATTTTTCGGTCAGATTCATCGTAGAGTTAGTCGGAAAAGGTCAGATCTACAGTCAAAGAACGGCTAAATCTTTGGTCGTAGTTAGTCGTCAATGGCGGCCAAGATATGGCCGTCGTTGACGACCAAACATAGCTAGATCTGGTTGTCAATGGCTATATCTAGTTGTAGATCTGGCCTTTTTCGGTCAGATCCACTTTGGATCTGATTGGAAAATGTCATAACGGTGCACGACTGGTCAGATCCAACTGGTCATGTGTTGATATAGTGACTTCGATCACCCTCCGGCGTGGTGGTGGCTAGTTACCAGTATTTAATGGATGGGTGGGGGTGTTTTTGTTAATTTTTAATGTTTTATTATAGGGATGTTTAGTAAATTAACAAACCTATAGGGTATTTTTATTAATTTTCAAATCCTACCTCATAATAACCACTTAACTCTTATTTTTTTAAAAATACTATCCAAAATACTAAAATAAACGCACACTATATATTCCTCGAGAAATAAAGTTTCAAGTATCTCTGTGATTTTCAAAACTATTAATGTTAAATGCTCTCTTATTAGGGATTTTGTATTTCTTTTTAGAGGGTTATATATATATATATATATATATATATATATGATTTACCAAATTTCTCATCCGAAGTGATATGTTATCTTATGTGATATTGATGTGTAAATGAAGAATTAATGTAGTAAATGATATGTCAACGCTACGTAAGATGACACCTCATTTGAATAAGAAATTTGAGATTTTATTTGGGAAGATAGTATTATTTTTATATTCATAGAGGGTTTTTGATATTTTTAATTTTTTTTCTTCATATTCTTAATAGGTTTTTGGAAATTTAAGGGAGATATTTAATAGTTTTTGAAAGCAAAACGGGCGGGTAAAATTAACCCTGTCGCCTCATTACCCATATGGTATTATCAAATCATTTATAATATCATTTTATAAATCTATAGTAAGAGGTATCATCAAATTATGTATAATATATATTCTGTAAGAGTCGAATCTTTCTATGTTCTGAGTCTACGTTATTCAATAGAAAGTTGTTACACGAAATCAAAATGATGAAATATTAATATAGATTTAGTAGGTATAACTGCAGATATTGTTTGACTCTTGGCTCTAAATTTTATAGGCAAACATCAAACCTTCCCAATTTAAACCTTCTTGAAACCAAGTCTTTTGACTCCCACCATTTCTTATTTTCAAATACCCATCAGACTTTTTCAAACCCAACTTCCTTTATATTTATTAATTATTAATTTAATTGATTGAAATAGTGACTCTTCCACCCTCTGATTCTTGAATGTCAAATTGACCTCGCATTTGAAGAACACATTTTTTAATTAAACTTCAAAGAACCCATGACTCTGTCTAAAACTAACAAATCAACTAAAGCAATATATGCCCAACTTAAAAATAAATAAATGTTGTGTAAATAGGTTTGTTATGGTACACTTTTTTGACCTCTAATCAATCAAGAAATGGTAAAAAATTGTTTACATGTATCAACAAAAAAAATGGGTTTCCTCTACATTGATGACGTGATACGTCTGATATACAGAATGTTGTATTACGTAGAAGAGTTGGTTGAGGATCTGGATAATAGCAGAGGCACCGTGCAGGCGGTTAACGCCCTATCTAAACTATTTACAATCTCAGTCATGGAAGGCCTATCTCTTCCTGCTTGTGTTACACAATCGACAGCCAAATAGCCAACATATGCTACTGCCTCTATTTCATATGGTGTTGGTGGTGGCACTTTTCGATCCAAAACTCTATGGATTTCATCCTGAACTATGTAAGGAATCGCAAAATCAACCACATGTCTCGGCATTTCATTCTCATTCTTGTGAATCGCTGTATGTCCAGTTAACAATTCGAGCAAAACAACTCCAAAACTATAAACATCGCTTTTCGTGGTCAATATCTGGAGCCTATAGTATTCAGGATCCATGTATCCAACTGTTCCAGCTGCATGAATTGAAAGGTGAGACTCATCATCTCCAGGACCCATCATTGACAATCCAAAATCCGAGACTTTGGCGGTCCACATGTCATCCAACAATATGTTCGATGACTTGATATCACGATGAATGATTTGGGGCACAGAGTACTCGTGGAGGTACTCAATCCCTCTCGCTGCGTCCAATGCAACCTTAAGCCTTGTAGGCCATGACCTTAGTGGTGAGTCTTCCAGCTTGTGAAGATGCTCATGGAGTGTTCCATTAATCATGTATTCATAAACCAACACAAGCTCATCGCAATCTTCACAAAAGCCTAATAACCTCACAAGATTCTTGTGATGAAGGCGGGACAACGATTCGAGCTCGTTCAGGAAGGCATGATCTTTGTCCTCCTGAAGCCTGGTGCCGCCAACTCTCGATGAAGTGTTCAACACTTCAGCGCGCTTGATGGCAACTTGGCGCCCATCATCTAAAATCCCATAGTAGACTGAACCAAAACTTCCTGTCCCAATCTTGTGATTCGCCGAGAAATTATCCGTAGCTTCAAGGAGTACTTGTAATGAAAACTCCTCCAAGTGACCTGCATTTCCCATGCTGGCCAATTGGCTAAGCCGCTTCTCGAGAACCGGTTGCCCTGCAGGTTGCGATGGCAGGTTTTGGCGTTGACCGGAACCTTGTTCAGCTGGTGCGCCATCCTCATCGAGGCGTCCCGAGTCATGGACGCGACATCCTCGACCTTTGCATTGTCTGTAGAGAAAGAAAAGAAACACTAGAAGTAAAGACAATGATCCGACACAACCAACCACCAGGAGAACCACCATTTTCGCACTCCAGCCTGAGCCTCCACCACTCGAGGATTCATCTCCCGACTGTGGCGAAGGCGCAGGTGTAGGTGGAGCAGGATGAGGACTAGATGGTTGTTGCGGTTGTGGCGGTGGCGGTGGCAGTGGTTCACAGATAGATCCCATTTGTCCACAAAGAGTGCCTGACCCATCCAAAATGCCATATGGACAATCACGTCTACACGGTCCTGGCAATACTTTCTCAAAAACCATTCTAAAATTATCAATTCCTTCACCCCAACAATAAAGAGAGAAATTACTTTTCTCAACGCCACAGAAAACTCTTCGTTTCGCTTCAATTGAAACAAAATAAGTCTCTTGTAAAGCTGCAGGCAAAGTAAAATTATCCTGCCCCCAACAAACAACTGTCCCGTTAGTAGACCGCAAAGCACAGCTACGATTTTCCCCCAACGTACAATGTGGAATATGGGACACTTAGTATAATTCTTTATGGGTGCATTTGTTTCCTTATTTTTGTTTTATCTTATTCCTATCATTTTTAAAATACATATTTGTTTATTTATTCCGAAAATACTATTATATTTTATTCAATTATTTTTAGACCTCTTAAGTTTGTTAATTTAATAAACACCCCCAAAAAAAGTTTAAAAATTGATAAAAACACCCCAATCCACCTATACTTGCCAGATTCTGGTCACCACCGTCAGAAGGTGGTCGAAATCTGGTATAATGGTGTACTATCAACTGGATCTAGTCGATAATGCATTGACCAATTGGATCTAGTCGATAGTGTGTCAATCTAATATTTTTCGGTCAGATTCATCGTAGAGTTAGTCGGAAAAGGTCAGATCTACAGTCAAAGAACGGCTAAATCTTTGGTCGTAGTTAGTCGTCAATGGCGGCCAAGATATGGCCGTCGTTGACGACCAAACATAGCTAGATCTGGTTGTCAATGGCTATATCTAGTTGTAGATCTGGCCTTTTTCGGTCAGATCCACTTTGGATCTGATTGGAAAATGTCATAACGGTGCACGACTGGTCAGATCCAACTGGTCATGTGTTGATATAGTGACTTCGATCACCCTCCGGCGTGGTGGTGGCTAGTTACCAGTATTTAATGGATGGGTGGGGGTGTTTTTGTTAATTTTTAATGTTTTATTATAGGGATGTTTAGTAAATTAACAAACCTATAGGGTATTTTTATTAATTTTCAAATCCTACCTCATAATAACCACTTAACTCTTATTTTTTTAAAAATACTATCCAAAATACTAAAATAAACGCACACTATATATTCCTCGAGAAATAAAGTTTCAAGTATCTCTGTGATTTTCAAAACTATTAATGTTAAATGCTCTCTTATTAGGGATTTTGTATTTCTTTTTAGAGGGTTATATATATATATATATATATATATATATATGATTTACCAAATTTCTCATCCGAAGTGATATGTTATCTTATGTGATATTGATGTGTAAATGAAGAATTAATGTAGTAAATGATATGTCAACGCTACGTAAGATGACACCTCATTTGAATAAGAAATTTGAGATTTTATTTGGGAAGATAGTATTATTTTTATATTCATAGAGGGTTTTTGATATTTTTAATTTTTTTTCTTCATATTCTTAATAGGTTTTTGGAAATTTAAGGGAGATATTTAATAGTTTTTGAAAGCAAAACGGGCGGGTAAAATTAACCCTGTCGCCTCATTACCCATATGGTATTATCAAATCATTTATAATATCATTTTATAAATCTATAGTAAGAGGTATCATCAAATTATGTATAATATATATTCTGTAAGAGTCGAATCTTTCTATGTTCTGAGTCTACGTTATTCAATAGAAAGTTGTTACACGAAATCAAAATGATGAAATATTAATATAGATTTAGTAGGTATAACTGCAGATATTGTTTGACTCTTGGCTCTAAATTTTATAGGCAAACATCAAACCTTCCCAATTTAAACCTTCTTGAAACCAAGTCTTTTGACTCCCACCATTTCTTATTTTCAAATACCCATCAGACTTTTTCAAACCCAACTTCCTTTATATTTATTAATTATTAATTTAATTGATTGAAATAGTGACTCTTCCACCCTCTGATTCTTGAATGTCAAATTGACCTCGCATTTGAAGAACACATTTTTTAATTAAACTTCAAAGAACCCATGACTCTGTCTAAAACTAACAAATCAACTAAAGCAATATATGCCCAACTTAAAAATAAATAAATGTTGTGTAAATAGGTTTGTTATGGTACACTTTTTTGACCTCTAATCAATCAAGAAATGGTAAAAAATTGTTTACATGTATCAACAAAAAAAATGGGTTTCCTCTACATTGATGACGTGATACGTCTGATATACAGAATGTTGTATTACGTAGAAGAGTTGGTTGAGGATCTGGATAATAGCAGAGGCACCGTGCAGGCGGTTAACGCCCTATCTAAACTATTTACAATCTCAGTCATGGAAGGCCTATCTCTTCCTGCTTGTGTTACACAATCGACAGCCAAATAGCCAACATATGCTACTGCCTCTATTTCATATGGTGTTGGTGGTGGCACTTTTCGATCCAAAACTCTATGGATTTCATCCTGAACTATGTAAGGAATCGCAAAATCAACCACATGTCTCGGCATTTCATTCTCATTCTTGTGAATCGCTGTATGTCCAGTTAACAATTCGAGCAAAACAACTCCAAAACTATAAACATCGCTTTTCGTGGTCAATATCTGGAGCCTATAGTATTCAGGATCCATGTATCCAACTGTTCCAGCTGCATGAATTGAAAGGTGAGACTCATCATCTCCAGGACCCATCATTGACAATCCAAAATCCGAGACTTTGGCGGTCCACATGTCATCCAACAATATGTTCGATGACTTGATATCACGATGAATGATTTGGGGCACAGAGTACTCGTGGAGGTACTCAATCCCTCTCGCTGCGTCCAATGCAACCTTAAGCCTTGTAGGCCATGACCTTAGTGGTGAGTCTTCCAGCTTGTGAAGATGCTCATGGAGTGTTCCATTAATCATGTATTCATAAACCAACACAAGCTCATCGCAATCTTCACAAAAGCCTAATAACCTCACAAGATTCTTGTGATGAAGGCGGGACAACGATTCGAGCTCGTTCAGGAAGGCATGATCTTTGTCCTCCTGAAGCCTGGTGCCGCCAACTCTCGATGAAGTGTTCAACACTTCAGCGCGCTTGATGGCAACTTGGCGCCCATCATCTAAAATCCCATAGTAGACTGAACCAAAACTTCCTGTCCCAATCTTGTGATTCGCCGAGAAATTATCCGTAGCTTCAAGGAGTACTTGTAATGAAAACTCCTCCAAGTGACCTGCATTTCCCATGCTGGCCAATTGGCTAAGCCGCTTCTCGAGAACCGGTTGCCCTGCAGGTTGCGATGGCAGGTTTTGGCGTTGACCGGAACCTTGTTCAGCTGGTGCGCCATCCTCATCGAGGCGTCCCGAGTCATGGACGCGACATCCTCGACCTTTGCATTGTCTGTAGAGAAAGAAAAGAAACACTAGAAGTAAAGACAATGATCCGACACAACCAACCACCAGGAGAACCACCATTTTCGCACTCCAGCCTGAGCCTCCACCACTCGAGGATTCATCTCCCGACTGTGGCGAAGGCGCAGGTGTAGGTGGAGCAGGATGAGGACTAGATGGTTGTTGCGGTTGTGGCGGTGGCGGTGGCAGTGGTTCACAGATAGATCCCATTTGTCCACAAAGAGTGCCTGACCCATCCAAAATGCCATATGGACAATCACGTCTACACGGTCCTGGCAATACTTTCTCAAAAACCATTCTAAAATTATCAATTCCTTCACCCCAACAATAAAGAGAGAAATTACTTTTCTCAACGCCACAGAAAACTCTTCGTTTCGCTTCAATTGAAACAAAATAAGTCTCTTGTAAAGCTGCAGGCAAAGTAAAATTATCCTGCCCCCAACAAACAACTGTCCCGTTAGTAGACCGCAAAGCACAGCTACGATTTTCCCCCAAGGCCAAAGCGTTGAACATATCTCGCGGCGTTTCGCCCACCTCATCTCCCCAACACCGCAAACTATGATCCAAACTTATCGCACAAGCATGGCTAAATCCCGCATCAATCACACTGTAATTCCCATCGGGCACTTGATCAATGACGGTGGAAGTCACATTATTTCCATTATTGCAACTAATCCTGCCGGTTTCGGATAACCCGCAAACAAAATCTTGACCAACGGCGATACTCGAAAACCTCAAACTTGAATTGAACTCAGGCCATTGCCAGCATTGAAGGCGATTAGTATCGTTCTCAACGCCGCAAATATGAGAGTTTCCCGCTTCAAGTTGGTGAAGAGCCGGACCTTGATAAATTCTCTTGTATTCCATAACCGTACCGTTTGAAGAAAACCTCCAGCAATTCATAGCAGAAGCATATGAAGTAGCAAAGTTTCTCAGACCACACACGAACCCATCTCCGGCAACAACGCCCGAAAACGAAACGTTAGAATTTCCAATTCCTGAACTAGAACAGTTTAGAAAAGATGAGTTTCCATTCGGGGAAAGAACCAATGCACATATCAAAGGCTCGTTAGAAGTTTCGGAAATTGAAACAGTAGAAAGTGAAGAAATGAATGGAAGAACAGAAAGAAAGAGTAAGAGTTTTAGAAAAGAGCTATAAAGAGCCGCCATAGTTAGAGAAATGGTGTTGTGAAAAGTTCATATTGAGGGAGACGAAGAGAGGAAGGTGAAAATGGAGGTGGGCTTGGTGGTGTTTTTGTAAAGAGATGGAAGAGGGAAACGCGGTTTGGTGGAGCGTATGGAGGACCGAAGAAGAAAAGACCGAGTCGTAAATGAGAATAAGTTCTTTTTGGAAAAATATTGAAAGGAGAGCTCGTGGTCAATACTTGAAGCCTCAGTCTCAGTTAGTCCACACTATAGCGTATAATTATTATTATATTCCAGTTACTCGTTGTACTCGGTTGAGTCACTCGGAGACACTGAGTTTGTATAAAAATAGATTCACAACTCACAAGCCAAAAGGACATCGGTCTGTATAATCTTTCTTTCCTTAAAGAGATACTCTCAACTTGTTTGATATAATATATAAAAATAGGATTTTATTTTTTGAAAAAAAAATTATGAAAATACGTTTTGTTAAAATGAATTCTATATTTCTAACAAACACTTATTAGATATAATTCTAAAATTAATGTAAAATTAAAAAACGACAAAAACCCATTTTCTTTATGTTTTGTAGTTTTCTAACCTGGAAAATCAATCATAGTTTTAAATATTAAAAATCAAAGATAAAACTCAAATTTTTTAACTATAATTTTATATATTTGAGATTTGTTTTTGGATCATAAATTAAACAATTAAATTTTGGATCACATAATTTAATATATTTGAGATTTGCTTAAATTAAATAATTTTACATGAAATTAACCTAAAAAACCTATTTTGGTTAAATAAAGCTCGATAAAAAATTCTTTAATGATTTGAAAGACATGAGTGGTATTATTCGTATATCATTAATATATTAAAAGAGTTTAACTTGATCAATAGTTTTGAAATTAGAAAATGATAAATTTTATAGAAATGGAAAGGAAGAGTTGTTCTAAAATAGTTGAATATTCCACTCAATCAAATTTCAAAATGTTCAACTGAGGGGCTCAGTCAATTACAAAATCAAATTGAGAAATTTTCATAATCAACTTGTGGAATTAGTCTATCAATGATGGACCATGACAATTACATCAATTGTGTCATCGTTTTCAAGAGTAAAGAAATCCTTAATCTCTTTTATTTCTTTTTTATTTGCTATTTTAAGTTATATATATATATATTTTAGTACCAAAAAAAAAATGCATTTGATATAATACCCATAAATTTTCCAAAGAGAAAATGACTTCTTTTTTTTCTTTTCTTCATTTTAATATCTCAATGTGATTGTTATCCATATATAAAGGTTACATCAAATATTAGATAAATAGTTAAAATATCAATAAGAATGGTAACTTTGAAATACACGGGGTTTAATTTAGAGCAAACGACTTTTTCCCACCCAAGGTTTGCCTTCATGACACTTTCTCACCCAAAAAGTTTCGACAATGGTATTTTGAAACTTTTTGGATCGAAAAATGTTATTTTCCCATCCAAAGTTAATATTTCGTTACTAATCAAAGGTCAAAGCCGATTTCGACAGCCAAAATTATCTCTTCACTACCATTTGAATATATGTTCTCCTCTCTACAAAACTTTTCTCACTCTAGCATCTAATTTCTCACCGATTGTCGGTCATTGTAAAGCTAATGTTTTTTTGTTTTTAGCTGACTTTCGGTTGATTCCAGCGACGAATATTCAGTCGGTCACCATCATTCGATCCACTGACCTCCACTCTATAAAACCTCTCTCACCCTGGCTTTTGATAACTCGTCGAATGCTGGCTAAGAAAGTAGAGTGTATTTTGGATATTAACGGAATATAAACTTTGGGTCAGAAAGTGGTATTTTAAAACTTTTTGGATCGAAAATGTCATTAAGGCAAACCTTGGGTGGGAAAAAGTATATATATATATTACCACCGGCAATTACATTTGATAAGAGAGATTGAATATGTAGGTATCTCATTAATGTTAATAATAAAGAGTTAATATTGGTCTCCCATTTCGTGATCATAAAAAGTAAGTCTTCCACTATATATTTAGTTATTAGCCCAATATACAAGCATTATTACTTAGTCAAAATTGATTGAAATAGTCCATTATTTTTAATCTAACTGGAATTTTAGATAAGAGAGTAGCCTCCTTATAATAACATGACTTTGCCTTTTCATTCTATTTTAACTTGTTTGACATGCTTATATTATAAGAAGACAAACTAATTACGTTCACTTATCATTTTTTTTTAGTAATCAAGGTGTTCGATCAGCTTAAGTACATCTTTAACTAATTTTTAAAATCTATTGAATACCTTACAAACTCAAAAGGTTACATAAGTCACAATTATCTTTGTTGGAACGTAATTTGTAATCCCAAAGTTTGTATCAATTAGACATGAATATAGTAATATGAGTGGTTTTTTGAGAATGAATGTTCTAAAAAAGGTTAGCATAAACAAAGTAGACCCTATATATTAGTAAAATTCTAAATTTATTCCAAATTATTCTCAAATACTTTTTTCCTCATATTTTAAAAAAATCATGTTTTAAAATTTTAAAGCATAAAAAAAAAAACCCATGTTAATTAACTTAATTTTTTTTCTTTAATATAACTATTCTTAACTATTTTCGATAATTTATTATTTCAAGGCCCTTTGACACCTATACACACAAAGTTTTGAGAGAGGAAACATCTTAAGAATATAAGATTTAAAAACCATTATATAATCATCTTCTGACTGAATATGATTATGGACAGGTTCATTAAATAAATTTAACGTCAATTTTTTCTTTAAAAAAAAAAAGAATGATTTATAGCAATTTAATTAATTAATTATATTTAAAGCAGTTAATTATTAATTAATCTTTTTTCAATACTCACCAACTTGAAAGAATCGTGTCTGCGCTCTATAGAATTTTAAAAGAGAGTGTGAATGTAACCAAAAAAGTGTGAACGCTCAGGATTGTGTTTTCTGAGGATAATATTAATGGCAGAGATATGACGTTTGGAATCAGCGATACCACAGCTGTTAAAGAATCGTGTCTGCGCAAAGCCATAATATATATATAACTTGTTTTGAATTTTATTTAATACTCACCTACTTTTAACAACCTTGATTATTTTTTTGTATCATTGATTAATGGAAATTATATTAAGTAACCCTTTTTGGTGTCAATTGATAAAGTCCATTTATAAAAATCTCTCACAAAAAAGTCTTATCTAAGTTTTTCTACCCATGTTTATTGTTTAGACCAAATTACTCTTTCTTTAACTAAAAACCCAATAAACATTTTCGTTGATATGGCACTTTTATTTTACACCCTATCGATTTCTATTAGATAGAATCTTGAAACAAAACAAACTCTATCGTTGTTAGTTACTTCGCGTTTTTTTTTTTTAAGTATATTTTACATTTATAGTATAAGAATAAAATGTGTTTGAAAAAAAAATGGTCATAGGGATAAATTATCACACTCGTTTTAAAGTGAATTTATTATTCAATGAATTCTTAATAAATGAAATTAATTGGATAAATTAATTTAATCATAATCGTTTAACTATATAATTTCAAATTTCAATAATTAAAAGAGTAAAGAAAAGTCCCAACCTATGTTATAATTGCAAGAAATATAAAGTAAGGGACTAAACAAAAATTGAACAGACTTATAGTACATTAAGTTTTAGCTTTTCTATTTTATTCTTTCTTTCTAGTTTCTAGTACACAATTTTCAGAGGTTGGGGGTGCTTTTATAGTACCCTGCTGCCTTAAATGTCCAATAAGAATAAGCCACTAAGCATGACTTTCCTTATTGCACCCATCACAAATTATGGATATCATAGAATAATCCACTGCATGTATAAAAGAATCTTAAAAGACTTTTTATTAAAAAAAGTTTATTCATAGAAACATGAGTCAAATAAACTTTTTATTCTTTAAATATAAATTAAAGAGTGAGTTTGATTCTCCATATTCAGGAAATCAAATTTCACTTTCTATCTTAATTTTAAATAATAAATTACAAATTTTTATACATTTATTTATGATTTATCTCCCCTATTAAGTTTCTTTCTTAAAAAAACATATTCTCTCTCTTAAAATTTAAAGAGTCTATTGAATTTGAATAAAAATTTTGTTCTTTATATTTAAAAATCAATGAAAATGCTCTTTATTTATATGAAATATGCTCTTTAAAATAAAGAGCACCATTGGAGATGTTCTAACACTGTCCTCTAGATTTCCACCATTCATAGATAAATGCATTTACTTTTACCAAGGAAAAACCCAGAGGAGTAAAAACCTTAATAAACAAATACAATTATTTCATGAACCGTAAATTGGTGTTAGACGTGCTTAAACTGCTTTGTTCAAAACCTTGCTAGCAAAACCCAGTAGGAAAAAATCTGGTTAAGGGAAAAAGAGTATAGTGCATGTGTCTAAAAAAATTCTTCATTAAAAATTTGCTCCCCCACATCATGGTAGAAAACTATCGATCAATTTAGTTGCTTACTGAGCCACCTTATGTCGATGTTGTATATCAATTTCTCAAAAATTGAAGTTGGTAACGTTATAGTGAATAGATATGCAAAATTTTGTTGGAACGTATCGATTTAACATCAATCATTTGATTCTTTTGAGGTTAACGAGTGTAAATGAATTTTGGCGAAATTTGCTTGGTTTTGTCTCCTTTAATGTATCTTCATCTGATTTATGTGTTGTAGACTAGGGATGTTCAAAAAAATCCGATATCCGATCCTGATTTGCTCCGATCTGAAAAAATCGGATATCCAAAAATTCAGATCGGATACGGATCGTAATTTAAAAAAATCTGAATATTCGGATCGGATATCGGATCGGGATTGTTAAAAAAGCAGATATCCGTATCTGATCCAGATTGTACTAAAACTACGTCGTTTTGATTTTTAAAATAACCCTAACACAATTTTAATTTAACTCAAACTCAACTCTCTTACTCTCAGTCTCTCTCACTCGAACACGCACAGACACAGTCACTCTAACTCAACTCTCTCAGACTCATATCTCAGTCTCTCTCGCTCAAATCTCTCAATCTCTCTCGCTCGAAGACGCACAGACACAGTCACTCTAACTCAACTCTCTCAGACTCATATCTCAGTCTCTCTCGCTCAACTCTCT